TCCCTTTTATACCAACACTATCAATCAAATGTGCCTAAACCCAAACTAGTCTGGGTTGTTTGTATGAATCATTTAGATGTTTCACTCCAAAGGTGAATGAAGGGTTCTCTAAAAGTAGTTGTTCTGTAAATTTTACAATTATCCATACAGAAGAAACAAAAACAACAAAAGAAATATAGTGCAGAAGAAACAAAAACTGCAAAGCTAACATTAACATTTGGCAGGATCCATTTTTGTTCTCTTCTATGACGTGGAAAGTTTGTATCTTGGGCTTTAGGTTTTTCTACTAGACTGCTGTCAGGGTTCTTATTTTGCACTTCTTATATGTAATTTGGATCTTAGCAATACTGTGGTAATGCTGCCATGATCCTGCGCGTGTGCTGACCGACGTGATCTATGATGGTTATTGGGCTTCAAATGAGCTTGAACCTACATGCTATTACACGAAGTCAATGTATTCCAGCACAAGCAGATGTACGACAGATGTTTACAGTATCCTGTTTCTGATCCTCTTACCCCATTTCTTTCCATTTTTCCTCCTTTTGGTATTTCTCCTTCTCTTCTTAGGCTTAACAATCAACATCAGTGATAGGATATAAAATGTAACAGTTACCAAATTCCATGTTAAGTGATACTATTGAGATACTGCATTGTTGTGGTCTAGGATCCTTCATGTTGCTTTGAATTTTGTATTGTGAATGAGCTGCTTCGATGGTAGTGTGAAATGTTGTCAGTCCGTCAGATTGCAATACAAGCTTTTGTCCTATCCGTGTTAGATTATAGAAAAGCTTTTGTTGACTTGCCGGGATGCTAAATATTTTTCTATGCTTCTGCAGGTTATGCAGGAATTATGTGAATCAAAAAATTCAGCATGGGTTTTGAGAAGTGGTGATGGCAGTTCATCATAGTCTGCGGTTTTTAATTCAAGTTGTACAGGTCACCCGAAATACATGTTAGTAGTTGGAAATTCTCAACGATGAGAAGCTGCAAATTGGACGTTTCCCTTTACTCTTAAGAAGTATAATTGTTTAGTTTTTTGGGTTATACGATGTCTCAGCCTGTTGGTGGGAAGCCCTTTGCGTTGCAACTATATGCAGCTCCTCTGTGAGAAAGTCTAGGAGATATCTCTATATCAGAAATATGTTGGACAAGATGTAGATCTTCCATTTAATCAAACTCTTTCTCACTGAAGAAGTCCAAGTTGGTACTAGTTTTATGATCGCCTACTGCATTTAAACAATGATGAAACAGTTACTGCATTTAAAATTGAACGTTTCCCTTTACTCTTAAGAAGTATAACAGTTACTGCATTTTAACAATGATATATAGCATTGTTGTGCCGCTTTTGTGTTGAGAATAGGATATTTCATTGTGCCTGCTTCAGATGTTTCTACTTGTTTTCTTATCACTCACCACTACCACTACCAGGGCTCTGTGCAGTTGTCAAAAATCTGCAGGCTAAAAGGTAGTCAACAGGACTAGTAGATAAAAGAGATGCAAGTAGATCTCTGAGCATCCATGTTTGTATATATGTTACATGAGCTTCTCTTAAGGGGTAACTCAAATATGAAGACTTATTTTGAATGGTAAGACTGCCAATTTATCCTGACTACTAATTTTGTGCGTGATTGATGTGGCTCTTTTTATTTGTTTATTATCGTGAGATCAGGATTATTTTAGAACCTATAATATGGAATAGCAAGCGCATGCAAACGAAAATTACGGGTTTGCTTTTGCAATTGCATAGCCAATTGAAAAGGGATTTTTATATACCTATACACTATTAAAAATTTTATTATCCTAAATGTCCATGTTTAGTTAATTATCCGGCATAACTAAATTGTGTTTACAAAATATATACAATCCACCTTAAAAGGTTTCCAATTCATTATTTGTGTTAGCTGAAACGTAAAAGAAAGAACACAAGATTTAACGTGGTTCAGATCAAAATAATCTTACGTTCACCAGAGAACAATTGCCCTTTTAATATTAACAAAGGAAGGGGAGATTTCCCAATTACACTTAAGAGAATTTCTCTCTTAACTCTCTACTCACCACAATGTATTGTATTATTTTGGGATGATTTCTACAAGTGAAAGAGTGCATCTATTTATAGAGGTAAAAACCTCCTCTTGATGTCATGGGTGACATCAAAGGAGGAAGCTTCCTCCTAGCATCCACACCAACTCTTTCCACCAACTCTTCCAATTGGCATGCCATTGTTGACTAAACATAAACCAACATTTTCAGCATGCCATTGTTGACTAAACATAAACCAACATTTTCAATTTGTGTTTTTAATCAAGGGATTTAGTTACACCCTTCTCCTTTTTTCTCTCATCTCTCCCTCTTCTATCCAGATTCTCTCATTCTCCCCATATCTCGAATAAACGGAGTGCTTTGAATAATAAGGAATTTTTCAAAAGCATTTGAAACCTGGGCAGGATGCTTCTCCCTGGAAGTATGAGTAGCTACCCATTCCTCCAGAAATGCCTGGTAATTGGTTACAACTAAAAAGCTTCCTCAATAAGTTAAGTAGCGAAATATATAGAATATTGAGGAGCAATCCTATTCCTTTGTGTCACACATGTCAATATAAGATAATATAAAAAGCTTAATTACTTGCATATTAAATTAGTAACGAGAAAGAGAATTATGGTAATTGTAAGAATTAAGAAGTGCAATCACAAAGAGTATTCTGGTCAGGAAAGTCAGTATGTGAACGAACACCAAATTCTGTTCCCCTCCCACCACCCGATTACTGCCTTTCCGACAATTCTAGGTTCTTACCCAGTAGAAGTTGTGGTTTGGTTGTTGCTCAATTTGGAATAACAAGAAGTTTGTACAATTTTTATATAATATGTCTTTTGTATATTTTGTATCTGATTTATACATAGTAAAAACAAATTTCATNGGAGAGAGACGTAGAGAGAATTACCAATTGTTTGCAACAACCCCCAATTCAAACAAATAATATTTTTTGAAAACCCAAATTCGAATTCAAAGCTTTTAAATGGCTATCACTGGTGGAATTGCTGCTCTCTTTTCCTTTGCTCTAAATTACTTAAATTAGAGATTGAGAGATAAAGAGAGACGTAAAGAGAGAGAGAGAGAGTGCGCAGGGGGGAGAGAGAGAGAGAGAGAGAGAGGGAGAGAGAGAGAGAGCATGAGGGAGAAAGAATAAGGACGAGAAATAATTGATTCCTAATATAAAGGGATATAAATGTATATAATTGGTAAATTTGTATATAGGAGATAATTAACTTGAAACTTGAGTAAGGAGGGTAACAAAGTTTCCAATAGTGTATAGGTATGTAAAAATCCCAATTGAAAATTTCTCGTTGTTATGTTAACTTTTGTATTAGATTACTAAGGTTGTGGTGGACTAGTAAGTATTTCTTTATCCTTAATCAGAAGTTTCTTTTGCAAGTCTTAGTATAGAGTCGTCTTTGTTAGAGAGCCCAATGTAGGATTTTTTTCATCACTAATCCGGATTTAATCGGGCCCTAGGTATTGGGGTGGGAACAAAGAAAACCTTTGTATTATATTTGTCTTTGTTACGGTTCTGCAATTTCAGTCTCGACTCAAATAATGTGGGTAAAATTAATTAAGCTAATGATGATAAGGAGAAAGTTCAATAAAAACATACAAAGATACAGTAATTAGGACGACTAAATGGTCCGATCTACCGACTTATTATGTATTAGATGTTGTAACTTATTTATTTTGCAGAATCCACTGAATTTTCATTTTCATATCATTGGTATGGTGCGTGTTACAATTACTAAAATATTAGTTCAACTTTTCTACTCTCTTCACATGGCAGACATTGTTTGAGCTGAATATTATAATTTTCGTAATTCCATAAAGTTTTGCATACAATATGCTAAAGAGTTAGGTTTAATTTGTTAAAATCCATTTTCCGTCCTACAAGAACTTTGTGGTAAAACAAATAATCAAAGAGAAGCATCATTTGTAAAGTTATTACTAACCCGAAGTTATTAAACCTCTCTATTTACAATTATTGAGACGTTATTGAGACTTTGCAAGTTGCATTTAGGGAAAATGACACTGAATAACCGCTCTCAAAATATATATATATATACACACATTATGTGTGTTATATACAAAAATTATACACCTTTTCGACTATCAAATATAAATAGTTTCTGGTTGGGCTAAACATAATAATACCCCTTAGCTTGCATTTACTACCATTTCGCTTGGCATAGAAATTCTAAACTCTAATTCAAAATTATTCCAAGTAAGTGAAACATTTACTTTTATTCCAGTATATAATATTTTTTTAAAAACCTCCTTAATTTTATTGTACAATCATTACTAAAACTTCAAAAAAGGATTAATGATTTGTGTCGTAGACATTAGTTTTTCTTACACACTTACATATTATATATACATCGATCTTTCTTTTTGGTTTGAATTGACATGATATTAAATTATCAAAATATAATAATATTTTGTATGCTTTGAAAAAAATTGGGGAAAAATATTAGAACTAAACCGACAAAATCAAAATACATATTTTGTAACTTTATAAGTACCCATTAACTTGATTACCCAATGGTTCAAGTGTTCAATATCTCCAAAAATTTCTTAGTGTTTTTTGAAAATGAAGAAAGTGGTAAGGAAATACAGTACAAAAGAATTATATTAATTAACATTTCCATTAATCTTATTCTTCTTCTTCTTTATTGAATTCGTACATCAATTTTTTTTAGTTTTTAGCACACAAAATTCTTTTTGACTTAGTGATCAAAAACATTATATTAATAAATTTGATTTTCTTTTAAGCAAAAATCAAAATCCCAATTCGGTAAAGTGGACTGGATATACAATTGTACCCTTTACGAAAATCCCAATTGGACGACTATTCCCAATTACAGAAACGGTGAACGGGTGAAACTCTTTTCTAGCCCTAGTTTTGTGTTACTTTTTCTCAAGGCGAGGAAGAGAGAGCAAGTAAAAATTAGAGTGTAACGATGCAGGACTATGAAGGCAATGGAGTATATATAGACAATAATGGCGCCTCTCCTTACAGTCAGGTACTCTCTCTATTTCTATTGGATCAATTTAAAGCTTTTATTTTTTAAATTGGATTTGAACTTGTAATGGTGATGAATTAATCCACAGAGATGTTTTGGGCTACTAAGATATTTTTGATTGATTGATGGTCGATAACTTTGAAAACATGAGTATAAAAACATCAACTTTTTGGTGTAAAATCAGAGTTCTTTTGGAATTAAATTACATCTTTAGAGAATTACACTCAATGGTGGTCCTGATAATCCCCAAGTTGTGACTTAGCCAATACCAAAGCTTTATGATAGCACTCAATAGTTCCAATTAGACTTGTTATTCATTCCTTAATGTTTTGAGCTGAAATTACATCCTTAGAAATTACACAAAAGTAATGTAAGTCACCATTTACATGGTCTAAAGTATTTGGAAATGTTTGAAAAACGGCACTTTGAATAGTGATAGTGTTATTTAACAGGGATACGGGAGTAGTTATACTGTAAGTAACATGTTGGATGTTGGGTATCTGAAATATTTTTCCTGATTCATGCTCTTTATTTTTCTTTTTTTGTCTCAAATTATTAATACGGGCTTCTAGTGCTCTAAAGTTTTCAATTTGTTCAGTTTCAAGTATTAGATTATGATGGTTTCCCATCCTTAGATTTGTTCTTTTATGTCATAATAATCTAAGATTTTGTTTCAATATGTAAAATTTGTAATTTTCATCACACACTAACCTTTTCTGCTACCAATTTGCCTCTTCCAGCATATTTCTCGTGACCATGAGAATGAAAGGGACTCATCAATAAGCAGGGATAAGGAGAGGGACAAAGGGCGTGATAAGGACAGGGACAGGGATAGGAATAGAGATAGAGACAGGGACAGAGTGAAGGAAAGGGACAAAGATAGGCATAGGGACAGAGATGGGGAGAAGGACCGTGATCGTCATCACAGAGATCGTCATAGGGATCGGAGTGATAGGAGGGAGAGGGAGAGGACCAGAGATAGAGATGAAGATGATCTTCATCGAAGTCGAGATTATGATAGGTAAGTTCTGTTAGTTGGATTAATAATGTGTACTTCCTTTCAGTTTTTTTTTTTGTGTGATGGTATTAGTGATATTTATATTTTGAGAATCATTTCCTTTGATTTTTAACTTCAAATTCTGTTGGTTTTCATGTCATTGTTTGCTATACTCTATATACTTTAGCCTGAGCTTCATATGAGATTCAAGCAATTGATGCTTTTTGATTTAATATTCTACCAAATTTCCGAGTTTTCCTGTATCTTGATGTGATTGTTCATTCGTCCTTGCAGGCGAAGAGACAATGACAAAGATAGAGAGGATCGACGTAGACATAGACCTATCTCAAGGGGTAGATCTGAGCATAGATCAAAATCTCGATCACGGTCGCCATCCAAGAGGTTTACAGCTGCTCCTATATCTTCTTATCGGAGCATTGAGATATTATATTTTTGTTAATTTTGAAGTCCTAATGCTCTTTCATGAATGTTTTCTGTCTTGACATTTTAGTTACGTTAGGCTTTTCCTTTACATGAAGTAAATAGTTATTTGCGGGAATGCAGGTGAGACTGGTCATTGTACTCTTTGATCTGTCAAATTGGAAAGGGAATAATGAGTGCTAGAGTTATAGATGGAATTGGATTAAAGACAGTACTTGAAAATTTTGTTATTTGGCCTTGTGAGTTGGTGATTTGGTATTTGGCTACAGAAAATCTTTGTTATTGCAAAAGGTTAAAGCTGCTATGATGACTTTGATATCCTCGCTCTTTTTACTGAAAATGTATTCGATACTGACTGTTTGTCCTTTTTAATGCTTGTGATTTCTCGGTCTTGCCCCTTGTATTGTATTTCTTTTACGAGCGTCTTTTTCTCCTTTTGATTTGTAGTCATGCCCTTCTATTGCATATGTTTATCTGGTTGAAACCTTTCTGGTGTTACATATGTCCCAGTGAGCTGCTAACATCCATATAGATCATCGAAAGTTAAAATTTGCTACCAATTTATGACTTTGCTACTGGTACTAACGATGTTTCTTTTCAGCAAAAGGATAAGTGGTTTTGATATGGCACCTCCTACCACTGCGTTGTTACCAGGCGCTACTGATGCTGCAGGTACACGTCCCATCAGTTTTCTTACAATTAAAAGTATCTTGAAATCTGTCATGTTTTTTCCTGGACATAGTGTGGAAGTTCGTATCGAAATGCATGGTTACATTTTGGTAAGCTTTTTGGTTCTTCCACCTATATCGGTAGAGAGTTCTGGTATAGATTAGCTCTTTTGGTTTTCTTTACTTTTTACTTGGTGAAATAATTCCGAGACTGAGAGTGTTTTGGTTTCTTGTTGTGTTTGGTGTTTGTTTGTTTGTTTTGTATTGTCTTATGTTCTAAGAAGGCAATGTTGGGCTACTTGCCCCACTGTGCTGACAATGGGCGTGAGCCGACTTCTGTAGCTTATATGTACAAGGAAGAATCGATACAGGTCTTGTTCATCTTCAACAAGGAATTGCTATCTTGGTAGTTTACAATTATATTCCCTAGTAATGAATACACTGTAAAAATCTCCATCCCTTCAATTGTTTTATTTCGATTGGATTACAAAGTCTTATTTTTTCAACAATATTGAAAGAAGAAAAATATTATGTATAAATATTCACTTGCTCTTAGAATTTGAAGTATATACTTATTTTCATTTTATAAGATGCTATTTCATTCATCTGTGCAGGTCAAGTTCCTGGGACTAACCCAGCAATTCCTGGACTGTTTTCTAACATGTTTCCTTTAGCATCAAGCCAGGTATTGTCATGGACCCTTCTTAATAAATGTCCAATGATTTATTGAGATTCTCATTTATTTGTTCTGTGGCTTCTCTCAGTTTGGAGCTCTCCCGATGATGCCAGTCCAGGCAATGACACAGCAGGTTTATAATTTGTTGGTCACTTCCTATTGTCTCTCTCTCTCTCTCTCTCTCTAATGGCATCTTCTTTTACCCTGAGTATATCCTCGAACGATGTTTTATCAGGCTACCAGACATGCTCGGCGAGTTTATGTTGGTGGACTTCCTCCTACTGCAAATGAACAGGTATTAGGCTTCCTCCTACTGTGGGGGCTGATAGTATACATATTTTTGTGACATTGCACATCTTCTCCAGTACGTTGCAATTACTTTTTGACATCAACACTGGCACTTTACATTGACTTACTGATGTCTGCAGAATGGGAACCTTCCGTAGTCATATCATTTTTTGGCTAGATTGTTATTCTTATGTAGATATAGTAACTAGAAACAACTCTAATGCAAATAAATGTAAATTTTTGGGAGAATATCCCTTCAGTTTACAATCCTTAGAGAGAACCTTTCTTGCATTAACTTGATAAAGAGAAAAAAAAGAGGAAATTTGCTTGTCCTATTAGAGTGAGATGTAGATCTTTTCTGATATCTGTGATTAATGGGTGACATTTCATTGTTCACTGTTAGCAATTATTTCGTACTATGATGGACAAATTAGGCTTTTTTATGTGTGTATGTGTAAGTAACAATCAAGTTTTCGCCCTCCAAGATTACAGATTATCATAGGGTTGAACTTACTAACTTTATGGTTTTAGGTAATTTATTACTCTCTGTTTGTGGCGTATCTTTGAGTACTTTTTATGTTGGCTCACTGTTGATCTACATGCAGTCTGTTGCTACCTTCTTTAGTCATGTCATGTATGCAATTGGAGGAAACACTGCTGGTCCAGGTTGGTTCGAGGATTAATGTGCTTTCCCTCGCTATTATCACTAAATTTACCTTTTTGATGCTCATAGTATTATTTGAAATTTTCAGGGGATGCTGTTGTCAATGTTTATATAAACCACGAGAAGAAGTTTGCTTTTGTTGAAATGAGATCTGTAGAGGAGGCTAGTAACGCGATGGCTTTGGATGGTGTCATTTTTGAGGTATTAAATGTCATATGACTTGAATAGGTGTTGTATGTTAGCTTTCTACTCATAGTTTATTGAAGAGAAAGCAAAGCAAGGAAAGATTTTAGTTTTCACAGGATTAGATTTTAGTTTTCACAGGATTCTAACCAACTCTCTGATCCTCCCAGTCTTGTTCAGCACAAGGAGAAGTTTCAAACTAACATCCCTTCGCCCCATCCCATTATATAAGCTGGAATCTGCAAACCCTGTTCTTTTTCGTTGGTTACTATTTATGTATTACTTATGGGGGGTTTCGGGTGTTCGATAACATATAACCAAAGCATCATGTTTTTTTGTGTCAAGCAAATGTCCTTAAATTTATTCCGACTCTGATTGCTATTTGCTCTTTTTGCACTGTATGTTTTGCTCAGGGCGGACCAGTTAAGGTTAGAAGACCCAGTGACTACAATCCTTCGCTGGCTGCTACTCTTGGTCCTAGCCAACCGAGCCCTAACCTCAACCTTGCAGCTGTTGGATTAACACCAGGTTCTTCGGGAGGGCTTGAAGGTCCTGATCGCATATTTGTTGGTGGTTTACCCTACTATTTTACAGAATCACAAATCAGGGAACTTTTAGAGTCTTTTGGTCAACTTCGAGGATTTGATCTGGTCAAAGATAGAGAAACTGGGAACTCAAAAGGCTATGCTTTTTGTGTGTACCAGGATGTGTCTGTTACTGATATTGCTTGTGCAGCGCTTAATGGAATTAAGATGGGCGATAAAACTCTTACTGTTAGGCGTGCTAACCAGGGCACAACCCAACCCAACCCTGAGCAAGAGAGTGTATTGTTGCATGCACAACAGCAGATAGCTTTGCAGGTGAGATATTTCTGTGCTCTTTCATTCAGTTTTCAGGTTCTTAGGCTATATGCTGATACAGGGACTGCGTAGCTCACTCTCACTGTCATGTTCTTTAATAGAGATTCATGTTACAACCTGGTGCATTAGCAACGAAGGTCTTGTGCTTGACTGAAGTGGTCACTGTGGATGAGCTCAATGATGATGATGACTATCAAGATATTTTGGAAGATATGAGGACTGAATGTGAGAAATTCGGTGAGTAGTAATATCAAGTGTTCTGTTTCCTATATTCAGCATAGCTTATGGCTGGAATTTGAGTTTGGAATCTTAACCTGTATATGCTTTTTTGTACGGCTACTTTGCAGGAGCTCTAGTAAATGTTGTCATTCCACGTCCAAATCCTAATGGTGTGCCTACACCTGGACTAGGAAAGGTACCTGTCTGCTGATCTCTTAAACCATAATCAAGATTAATTATGTTTATAATCTGATTATTGTCCTGTATATGTTGGAAATAAGGAGATTCAGCTTGTATCTTACTTTCATTATAGCGACCTGCCGAAAAATGACTATTATTTGGTGTTTTTCACTTCTGTTATTTATTATTGCTTCCTTAAGTATTGCCTGACTTGGAACATTGCAAGAGGGCTTCAATACGTTTGTACTGTTTTTTCTCTTGGTGTTAGTGGTTTGTACTTCTGAATGTATAATTGCTAAACTAGTTTCCGGGTTGTTTTTTCAGGTATTTTTGGAGTATGCAGATGTCGACAGTTCCAGCAAAGCTCGGCAAGGACTGAATGGAAGAAAATTCGGTGGTAACCAAGTTGTAGCTGTCTTCTACCCGGAGAACAAGTTCTCTGAGGGAGACTATGAGGCTTAGCTCTAACCACTATAGTTATGATAGATAACCTCCAGAGTGTTACTATATGGGGAGCTATTGCATGGCTTTAGAAATTATCACCTCTTGGAATGAGGGATTATAGTCGCCTTGTTACCTTTCCTTTTTCTTTTTCCTTTTTGGGCTACGTTGTTCTGGTTTTGAAGTTTGTTTGTGTGGTCAAAGCTGGTGTAAAATATCAAACAGGAATAATTATTGGCTTGTTTGTATGTTTTTATAATTATGTTAGTATAGACCCAGGTTGTCATGTACTTCATTGTTCCCTAGCCAAGAAGAACAATTTTGTTTGTTAGTGTAATGTATTGTTTTTACTTCTTCTAGTGCCGCTTAAATAACATTGTTCTATTTGGATGATATGCTATATGGATTTTACAATTTGAAATTGTTGTGATGATAAATGAGAGAGCATTAACAAATTGTCGATTCAGGGTAATGATTCCCCACTCTAGGGAAAATTTAAAGTTGACTATATCTTCTATTAATGCTTATAAATTGTCATGTACTGGCCTGTTCCCGCCACTGTTTTATGGGCGGCGTTTTTACTTATTATTAGAGCAAGGCGTTAGGTTCGGATTGTCGGGAAAACTTTGTCTTTTAATCTCATTTTATACAACACTGAAAGAAAATACTTAAAGTTTAGCAATCAGAAAAGTTTAATTCGTTGATATTAAACATTATGTTAGTNTTGTCTATTTGGATGATATGCTATATGGATTTTACAGAGTGAAATTGTTGTGATGATAAATGAGAGAGCAGTAACAAATTGTCGATTCAGGTTAATGATTCCCCACTATAGGGAAATTTAAAGTAGACTACATCTTCTATTACTGCTCATGTACTGGCCTGTTCCAACCACTGTTTTATGGGCGGCGTTTTTACTTATTATCGGAGCAAGGCGTTAGGTTCGGATCGTCGGAAAACCTTTTTCTTTTAATAGACTTAAACTTCGTATAAAATTGAAATGATATTAAACATTATGTTAGTAGAGTTTTTCTACATACGTAACCATCAATTTTATGAATTACAAATTTTGTTGTCTTCTCCGGAGAGGCATTCAGTTTTAAATGGCGGCAGGAAGGAAGATTCAACCATTACAGGCCAGCGAATTTGAGTCCGACTCCAAAAAAGTATAAAACCAAAAATCATCAATTATTTTGTTTGAATCTCTGTATAGAATGAATTGGGTTCAGCGGAAAGTGTATGTGTACAATGTCACTTTTGGTCTGTACATGCTTGACTTGTGGGAACGTTGTCTCTTCAGTATTCTTACATTTTCAATTTAGATCTGATTCTCCTTTTGCTTTCTATCAGTTTCTGTTATTCGTTATGTCTACCTATTGATTCCTCCAACTGCTGAGTGTTTAATGGATCTGATTTATTCGATTTGGATTTTTCTTGATCAATCTTAGATACATTGGTCCTTGTATTATTGTGGTTTATTAGCTATAACGGGCTTCGATGTGCTTCCGATTTCTTCAAACGGTAAGCCTTCTTAGTATTTTTTTTCCTCCTTGATGATGTTGTTTCTTACGCTCTCTAATTCAGCTATTTGCATTATTTTAAATGTCACAAATTCGATGCAAATCTAGTATCTATATGTTCGGTCTGGAAAATGGATATGTCTCAAGGTGTAATAAAATCATATGCAGTTGTATTGAAGAATTTTTGTTGTAAAAATGAGAGTTGGAGGAAACTTTCGATGACCCAAGAAGGTTGGTAATTTTATTGGTGCTGTTGTCAGAATTCTTCAATTGTTTATTTATACAAGATAAACTGGCTGTTGATATTTTTCAGACCATCATTTTTAGATAGATATAGTTTATGTTACTACTTGAATTTGCATATACAAGCAGCTCAACCTTCACTTTATTGAGCCATCCGTTATATATATTCAATCAAACATTGATTTATATATTTTGTGAGTAGAGGGTTATTGAGGTGAGATTGTCTGTTTTTGTTTCATGGTCATTGTATTACTTCTTAAAATTTAGTCAAGCTCTTGTACCATTTACCAATATTCTTAACAGCTTTCCGATTCTTTTGGTTGTTCTCAGGCAGATGTGGTGAAGTTCATGAGCTTCACAAGTTTGTTCTTAATTGTTACTAGAGAATGTGTGGTCTTTTGGCGTTTAATCTTTAAGAGCAGTAACTTGTTTGCTGTCTGTGGACATGAATGATGAATATTCTTTTCAAATAGTTTCTTCCTTTTGTATGTGTACCAACATGTATATGATGAAGCAGATTGAGGAATGCTTTGAAACTAGTCATTCAATTTGGGGTAGGGGTTAGTGGCAAGCTTCTTTGGTCCCCTATTCTGTTAAATGGAACAGATGTCGGGGTTAGCAGATTTCTTGTACTTGTATTTTTCAAAGGAAAATGAGTTTAGACAGATGGTAATATCCAGTCATGTATTGCTTCAACTGCAAGATTTAATCTCCTTGTCCTGATTTCTTTGGGGATGCAATGCTAATAGGTTTCAGTACCTTTTGAGTTGCGTGTGGTGAAACTATGGCTAATTTATTCTTGAAGACTTCATAATGGGGCCTTAAATGTGTGTGCTGAAGACTATTTAGAGCCTTAGATGTGTTTGCGTGTTGTCACTGGTTTATTGTCTTATTGCATTTTTTTGTGCTGAAGATTTATCAGGAACCACCTCTCTATCCCCCAGGGTCTATCTCTCAGGGTAAAGGTAAGGTTTACGTACACTCTACCCTCCCCATACCCCACTTATAAGATTATAGTGGATTGTTGTTGTAGTAGATATGTTTGCGTGGTAGTAGGGTTTGGAACGCAAGTAGAGGAGATGACATAAATGAGTTTCTTTAGACAAAGGAATACCTACTACATACAATGTCATAATTAACTACTCCCTCCAGTCTCAAGTATAACTCGTTTGGCAAACTGAATTTGTCACAAAAACATCATGGATTGCACATCTGATCCAGAGGTAGAAATAGGAGTTCATTTCCCAAAAGTCATCATACTTTGTACATTGTAACTCAAAGTCACTCAATATATTTAGGGCATATTAAATATTATTTTTCATATTCTTTTTTTAACTCAATCATTTAAACAATAAAAAACATCTATTTAAACCGTGACTCAACTCGCTCTTTGATCCGACCCACTTTCTCTTATTTTTCTTACAAAGAACGTAAATATTACTTTGCTGTTAATGCTGTTAATTATCTTGGTTTTCAACATACTGGTTTAAGCAAAGTATTAAATCCGTTCGACTAGAAATGGTCTTCTAGTAACATTATATTTACTATAAGCAATGCGCGTTCTTGTTCTAAAATATCGAGGATACTGTCTTTTAATTTACTCTTATATTACTATTTCTTGGTCAAAATTTCAAGCATATATAACTTTTTTTCATTTTTCCTTCCTCATTTTTATTTTATTCCACTTCAACGCTGCTAATTTTCTTGTTTCACTTTCAAATTTAACTCCTCTAGTTTGTTAAGATTAATTTCTGATTCTCTATTTAATACTTTGCTTAAACCAATGTATACATTTAGTATAACTATATTGAGAACCAATGTAAGACACTATAACAAAGTAATATTTGCGTTTGTTATAATAGAAATAAGAGAAAATGGGTGCGGGTCATGGAACGGTCGAGTCATGGTTTAAATAGATTTTTTGACTTTTTAAATGTTTGGGCTGAAAAGAAATATGAAAAATAATGTTTAATAATGCCCAAAAAGTGATGAGTGACTTTTGAGTTATAATGTGCAAAGTATAATAACTTTCTAGTTACAAAACAAAGCAAAGTGACTTTCATAGATAATTTCTATTAGTTAAGTGACCATACTAGAAATGGACTCGTAGAAATAGTATAACCGTAATTGCAGAAAAAACATGTTCTCGACAAATTCATCTCTAACTTTGATTTTCTTTGCATCATTAGAGCTTCATAACGAAGAGTGGAGGTACATCCATCCTACGATGGCATGAAGAATGGAAATTTTCACTAGTATGTTTGAGTTTTTAGGCCTAAAATTGGGGCTAGTGAAGTTGCCACTTTGTCTTTTCAATGAAAGTAGATACGAAGTTGCGTCAGCTACGAATATAGACTAGGCTATGGGATAGACTTCATCTCTACTGTTTTCTTCCGTTACACCTTACACTTCAGCTCATTGAGGCATTTTGTGAAGTGTTCTCCTACCCCTCTCCTGAGATAAAGTCATATTGACTCTCTGCTTGTGCAATTTGTAAGCAGCATTATTTTAAACCATCAATTTAAGATCAAAAAAGAAAAAATGTAAAAAAGGAAATAAAACTTTGTGGGGTGGTCCATACCACTTCCCGGCATAATAAAGAGTTTGAAACTAAAAAAAGTAGATGCATTCAAGTCAATGAAAACATTAATAAAGTGTTGGACAAAAGATATGCTGGCTTTGTGGTTGTATGTTTAGATCTTTTCAACTTTGTATATGTTTTACTGGACATATACTTTTTAAGTTATTTAACAATATAATCATAAGATAAAGTGATTAATATACAAACAGTAGCGGCTCGATGGGGTAAGGGGACTAAAGCTAAACCGTTATTAGAGGCCTTTGGAGGCAAATATTGTTAATACTATTTCTGAAAAATAGCATAATGTTTGGAATTATGCCATAATGATTATTGACATAGCAAATGGTTGATCACATGATTTTCTTATCATTATAAAGAATTATAGAAGTAATTATGTAAAATATACTTATCTTATATATAATATGAGTAAAATTTGGGCCCTATATTTTTGGGGGCCTAAAGCCTTGGCTTTAGTAGCATTGGGTTGAGCCGCCTCTGTATACAAATCAAAGGAAGCTCACGTGCAACTTCGTATACAACTCAACTTTGATAAAAGGGAGTACTGCATTTTAGATGCACTATGCTGTTTAGGGCAGACAAGAGGAGTTGTTCTGATGGTAAGCAATCCCAACTTCCAACCGAGAGGTTGTGAGTTCGAGTCTTCCCAAGAGCAAGGTGGGAAGTTCTTGGAGGGAAGGATGCCGATGGTCTATTTGGAAACAGTCTCTCTACCCTAGGGTAGGGGTAAGGTCTGCGTACACACTACCCTCCCCAGACCTCACTAAGTGGGATTATACTGGGTTGTTGTTGTTGTTGTTGTTGTTGTTGTATGCTGTTTAGGGCAACCATATGACATTTCATCTTCATTAATTGTGATTAGTCGTCAATAGGGGCGTATGCAGGAATTTTTGTAAGCGGTGTCGAAATTTATAAAAGAACTGGAATGTTACTTTGATTATCATACTTTTAGACAAGAAATAACCTTAGTTTATTGGTTTTGTTGAGTCTTAAGTTAAAAAAGATTTTGAATTCAATTCTACTTCATCACA